TCTGAGATGGTGCCATTTCACTATGGATCCTCCCCTGTGCCTGTCGCTGACCTGGTTACTGAGTCCCTGAAGCCCTCAGAACCCACTCACACCCCTCCCTTCATGTGCTCAGAGCATTTCCCTGAGGTCAGCTGCCTCCGAGTTCCTCCCATCGAATTCACGATTTTGGCTCCCGTTTCCTGGGTGCCCTGTGGCCCAGAGACCACCTTAGAAGCTCTATTTCTAAGTGATATTTCTGTCGATGTTGCCTCCAAGAAAGCATCATCCTCATTGACAAGAGAGGGGGTGAGGTGGATGCTTGTAATCCCAGCACTCAGGAGGCTGAGGCAGGAGGATCACCCTGAGTTCAAGGTCAGCCTGAACTACAAACCTTGTCTCAAGAAGGGAGGGTGATCGTCAGAGAGGTTTAGGGACTTGCCCAAGGCAGCACAGTGAATGGTGAGGGAGGATGTGATCCTTCTCACCCTCTCAGATTTTCGCAAGCTGCCCAGCCCTCTGAGCTCCTCCCCTCAGGCCCCTAACGCTTCAGCTCTGCCTCTCCTCTCCTCTGTTCTCTGTTCCCCTCTCCTCTTCCCTACGTTTTTACCAGAACTTTCTCCAGAGTCTTTCATCAGCAGGATGCCCCAGTGCAGTCCCCGCCCTCCCTGCATGGCTGGGAGCTGCCTGTGTCACTGTCACCATGGCCACCTGCTGGGCTCCCTGCCAACTGGACTCTGTCCTCACCACTCACTGCCACTCTCACCGGTGTCTCAAGGTGCCAGCCGAAGGATCTGCTCTTCCTGACCTCTTCGAAGCATGGATGATGGGCTTCCCCGCCGGCTTCCAGGCCCCGGCCCCGCCCCCAGCCTCGCCTCCCTCTGATACAAGTTCCATCAAAGGAGGCAAAGAGGCTTGCCCCCTGGCCCACACAAGCACTGTTTTGCTGATGGGAGCTGTTGAATTCTGTAGAGCTAAAGTTCTGCATAAATAGCGCATTTAAGCTTCCTGTCATTTAGCCATCAGTCACTCTAACAGAAGCACGGTGAGCCCAGCGCTTTTGGATTGCCCTTCAGAATCCCTGTCTGTGTGCAAGGGAGGTGTTCTGTGTTTACACAATATGAAGTGGGCATTAAATTCCACTCTGTCCTGGTAGCACTACCGATTGGCTTGGTTTTGATGAGGGGCACTAACAGAAGTCCTCTAGGCATTTCAGTCCCTTGGGTGGTCCTTGATAGGTTATTGATCCTGGGAACAGTGCCAAAGGACCCTGATCACTTCGATGGCATGTATTCCTCCTAGGGGTTAGGAGAAGCCGGGGCTGTGCAGAAGATGTGGAAGTCACCAGCAGGCAGGGTGAAGCCTGGCTGCAGGATCTGAGACATAGGGCCAGCAGAAGTGGGGCCAGGCCTGTTTAGTTTTCGGCACCCCATGTGGGTTACACTGAGGGAAGCTTGGAAGCTTTAAACTAGGATGATAAGTCGTTGCCAGCTTCTACCGGCTGGGAGGATTTGCAGTACCACGTGAGCCTCAAAAGAGGCTTCTGAGGCCAACCCCTAGCTCCCTGAAAAAGAGCTCCGTCATCAGATGACACTGTCAGCCTCAAGTGTGAGTGAAGGAGGACGCAATGATGCATGCCACATCTGTGCCGTAGCAGCTTTAAGTTTTGGGGTGTGTGTGTGTGTGTTCTGCTGGCCTCATGCATGCTAGGCACCCCCTCAGCTGCCTGATACTAATACAACTGGAACTGTTAGGCGTGTCATTAGGTCAAGAATTTGGCTGCTTCAGCAGTTTCACCCAGTGTGGACCTTGAACTTTGTAACCGTGACTTGCCTTGGAGTCAGCAAACCTTGAACACCAAGAAGCCACAGGGCTGAGGATTTCCCAGCAGTTGCGCAGCCCTTCAGTTGCACTTGTTTGTTGGCCTCCGAAGTGGCTAGGCTGTTCCTCTGTCCACACCTCAGCTCCTCCACACATTCCGGCTCCCTTACATGTCTTCACTGCAGGAAGTTTGGTGGGTCCTGTTTCTCTACAAGAAATATGATTTCTGGCACATCTCCAGCTCCCTTCTCCCCTGACCTTGATTCCTACTTCCTGGCCTCTGAACCCTCAAGCTGTGATATATTCACCCCACAATGACCTCCATTGACCTTGGCCTGCGTTTCAGAGCTCTGAGGCTTGCATAGTGCAAGTATAGATGTGCCTACAGCAGGGGGCCTTCTTGCCACTGGGCCACCATGGTGGAGAGCAGTGTCACAGGCAGGCTGCCGTCCTGCAGTGAGCAGCCCTGTTCCTGCTGATGGCTGGTCACAGGGTAGCAAGTCCTCCCCTCGACCACTGCCCTGCACCCCACACCCAGACCCTTCAGTGTAGTAACATGCAGCCTCCTCTCCAGATCTTTGATGTGTTGGAATATTGTGTTGAATTATATTTGGATACTTTTATATTGCTACCAAAAGCAGAGTTGGAAAGAAAACAGTACTGTCTCAGCCAAAACAGCCTGACCTACACACTAAATACAGCACTGAGGATCTGGGGCTCAGTGGTAGAGTGCTTGTCTGGAATATAAAGGCCCTGGGTTCCAACCCCAGCACTGCCAAAAAAAAATTAAAATTAAAATAAATAACAAAAAATAAAATAAAAATAAAAAGCACTAGACTCACCTTTTATACTTTTGCTTTGTGGGGGGATGTGTATGCAAGCCAGAGCTGGATTGAAAAGTTACCTCTGAAGTGGACTGATGTCTGAAACTCACTACGAAATGCATTTTAAAAATTCAGATGGATGGATGGAAGGATGGATGGATGGACAAACGTGTGATAGGGCCACCCATAGCATCCACTTTCGCTAGAATCTGGGCAGAATCCGGGTGGTGCCTATGTGGAAGCTCACTGCAAGATACTTTAAACTTTGCCACAGGTTTGGAAACTTCCATAATAAAATGTTGGGGGGAAATTGCCCCGACTGTGAGCCAGTTTAATTTAAACCAGGCCCTTGACAAAGGCGTCCCTGAGGCTCAGGAGTTGGAGTTGTGCTCATTGAATTCATCTGTGAAGACTTCCTGTGGGGTTCTGCTGTCCAGGCCCCAAACTGGGCTGGTCACACACTGATGGAGAGGGCAGGCAATCCTCAGCCTGTGACTTTGTGCTGCTGCCCCAGCTCACCCCTGTGTAACCCTTGCAGCTGGGGCTCTGTGCTCTCCTGCAGTGGCCACACCCCACGGCAGCTCCTGCACAGCCTGAGCTGTGTTCCTGCCTCTCCACTCCTGCCTGGGGCCTCACCATCTACCTCAGTGCTGCCTGTGAAATGTGCCAGGGCCTGGGGCCACCTGGGCAGGTGAGGAGGCTCCTACGTGGGAGGCTCAGACACCCGGCTGCTCCAGATGGCCACCCTGTCCCCTGCACGTTACAGGCACATGGAGCCCAGCAAGCAGGGCCAGGAAGTTAAGTGGCCAGTGAAGAGGCTCTGGAACTAGGTCCTCTCCTCTTCTGTGGGCCACAGGGAGGGGCTGGCAGCCAGTACCAGGAGTGACTGAGGTGCAGGGACATGCAAGAGCCCCTCTCCCCACGACTGCCTGTCCAGCCTCTACAGTCTCCTGCTAGCTTCTGGGTGGCCGCTCAGTAAATGCAACTCTTGGTTTTACTAATGATATCAGCCTTAACAAAATGACATTAGGAAGGAAGACATGCTGCAGAAATAGCACAAAGGAGATTTTTTAGGATTAAAAGCTGTTAGTAGCACTACATCCCACCCTTCATAGTGTTGAAAATTAAGGACCTCGGTCAGCCCCTGGGTCCCCTGGGGAGACAGCACTGTCTGTGCCTTTCCCATGCAACACACTCCAACAACACATGCTCATAGGCACAGTCCTCTGAGCTGCGGTGCCTCTTCCCTCAACCTCTGCAGAACCCCGGCTGGTGCCCCCTCTCCCACAGGCTGTGGACAAGGGGAGGTCAAGGACCTCGTGGCAGCCAGGGCCACTTCCAGCAGCAGTGGAGCGTCGGGTTCAGATGGTGGACTCTGGAGCCAGACTACCTGGATTCAAGTCCAGGCTCTACTGCCACTGGCTCTGTGGTCTTCAACAAGCCGCTTCATGGTTCTGTGTCTTAGTTTCATCATTCATAAAAATACTAACCCCTGTCTCATAGGGTTATTGTAAGAAGAACTTGCATGCAGAGCGTGGCAGTATCTGACATCAGTACAGAGCGCGCTAGTCAGGGCTGTTGCTGCCTTGTGTCGCTTTGATGTCTGGTCTCCATCCTCTCCTTTGGGACTGCAGGCTCATAAGGTCTGAGCAAGAAGCCAGCATCTCATTAGGGCTGAGGGAGGACAGCTGTGCTAGTTTTGGGTTGTGGCTATAACAAATTACCAGACATTTATTGACAGAAAGCAACTCGGATTTACTCCGTATAGTTCTGGAAGTCAGAAGTCTGAATTCATTTTCCCTGGGCTTAAGTCAAAGTGTCTACAAGGCCACACTCCCTCCTAGGCTTGGGGGAGAAGGCACTCCTTGTTTTTGAAGCTCCTAGAGCTGCATTCCTTGCATTCCTTGGCTCAGGCTTTGTACTCCATCTTTGAAGCCAGCAGAAAAGCATCTTGCTCCTGTGTCCCTCAGCCACTTTCCTCTCCTCAAACCTTCCTCTTTTCCTCTTGTGGGAACCTTAGGACCTCAAATCTCAAAATCCTTACCTTCATCTCATCTGCAAAGTTTTGCCTTGTAACACCCACAGGTTTTGGAGGTTGGGGTGTGGACATATTTGGGGACCAGTGGGTATAACAACCTAGTCAGGAAGCTTCCCTAGGTCCTGATCCTATGGCACTAGGTGGCCACATTCTGGACCAACTTGGAGCACCAGCCCAGACCACGCCCGGCCACATACATTATTCCCTGTCAGACAGGCTGAGGGCAGAGCCGGCACCTCCTTCCCTGTGGGAGCCCCTGTATTGCACATGGCAGGCACTGGGGGGTTATGTGTTCATGCATGAGGACAAGCAGGCCCTGATCCACGTGTGTACCCTTGTAGGCCATGGAGAGTGTCACTGTGGAGAATGCAAGTGCCACGCAGGTTACATCGGGGACAACTGTAACTGCTCCACAGACATCAGTACGTGCCGGGCTAAGGACGGGCAGATCTGCAGTGACCGTGGGCACTGTACCTGTGGGCATTGCCAGTGCACAGAACCTGGGGCCTTCGGGGAGACGTGTGAGAAGTGCCCGACCTGCCCGGATGCTTGCAGCACCAAGAGGTAATAGCACCACCCACTGTGCTCAGGCTGGCCTGTTGCCGAGCTGGGCAGTCCCACGTGGGCAGTCTCCACTCCCCACCACCTGGCCTTCCACCCACCCAGCCTGGCTCCTACTGACACTCTAAAATAGCAGCTTTGAATGCTGGTTCCATGGGGATTTTGTAAGAGAACAAAAAGCGGAACATAAAAACAAAACCACTATTCTGTTCCCAAATGAGTTGAAGCTACAGGATTACTGAGTTAAGTGAAATTAGACTGGTGTTGGTACGAAATGGAGGTTCTTCTCCAAGCCTTGAGTGCACTATTGTGCATTTTCAAAAGGGAATGCAGTGTGCACCTTTTTTTCAAATGAATTTGATCCTCCCCATTAACATCTCCCGAACACTGTTTCATAGAACCCCCATATGGGAACAGCTGCTTTAAACAAAACGGCATCAGAAGGTAAATGGGATAGAAAGGCACCAACCCAGATAAGGCCCACCAGAAACAAGTACAGTGGCTCTTGGATTTTCTGCTCCATTTATGCTGATAATGGAGCGCCGGCCCTGATCGGCTGCTGAATGCGGAGATTGTCTGGCCAAGTTGGGCGGCTGCTGGCCCACTCAGGCTCCCACAGTAGTACTGCCCTCCCCTCGCTCTACCTGTGCACTGCCAGAGAGGGAGCCCAGTCACAGAAGTCGGGCTGTGATGCTCCCAGAGAGCCAGAGTGATGTTCAGTCTCGAAATCTGCCAGGGAAACAGCTGTGTCATCATCTGTGCTAAGGAGCCGGTGGGGGAACCAGGGCACAATCGGAAACCAATCACAGTACAGACTGTGTTTCTCTGGCTTGGGGAACACACTGCACTTTTTTTTTTTGGCAGATTTTCCTTGCAAACGTCTAGCCCCTGCTGATAATGAAATGAGCTCATGTTCCTTGAGTTCACACCAGCTGCTGGTCAGCTCACGCTCAGAAGCATCCTGGTGGCAGAACCTTGGGTTGCATCTGCCCCAGACTGTCCAGGCGGGGGGAATTGAAAGCTGGCTGCCAATGGAGAGACAGGATAGCCAGGGCCGGGCTCTGTCTTGTCTAATTGCAGTGGGTAAAACGAGTGAGGGAGAGGAGGACAGATTGCTCAAGGAGCCTGGAGCCTTTGGGGCAGGGGAACGGTGGAGGCCCAGATAGAAGTGGCTGGGGTCCTGAGTACAGACTCAAGTGAGCCGGCACCACAGGCATTGCTAGCACACTGTGCCTAGGGGAGGCGCACCCCAACTCCCACCAGCAGAACCCTGGAGGGTATTGCTCCCCATCCTGGGGACACGAGGTCCTGGGGAGTGGAGGCCAAGCTGGACAACACACATGGAATGAGTGAAAGTAGCGGAAACCTCAGTCTTTTCTCTGAAGGAGCAGCAGGACCATGAGGGATCAGCTTCTGGCCAGTTAAAAGACCTCTGAGGAAAACAGCTCTCACTTTAAATGTAAGGCACTTATTTTCTAAAAGACGCAGACTTGATAATTAATTATCCATTACGCACTACCAAAGGAGCAAGAGGGCAAGAAGAGGCCACAGGGAGCTTCCCTGTTCCTTCGTAATTTGCCTCTGGGCCACACTGACTCTCTGTTATAGCCACATAGAAAAAAAAAATGTTTTTAACAAAGTCCTTTTGATAGTGATTTTGATAGGCTGTTTTCCTACTTGCTGCTTTGCTGAGAGCTACAGGTTTTGAATCTCCTACATCCTTTTCTTCCTGGGGTTTTAGGGTAACCAATCTCTCCTTTCTAGAACTAACCACACCTACCTTCCCTCTGGATGAGTTCATGCTCAGCCCCAGCTGATTCCAATTAGCAGGCTCTGAGCAAAGTCTCTCAGAGACTTGTTTTTTTAAAAGGCCAGACATATTTTCATACATAGCTGCACTATATTACACGTTTCAGTCAGCAAGGAAGCATACACACTAGACTCCCATGTCCCTGTGGATAATTAGGGTGCTTCCAGAAGTGCCTGCAGCTGGAGTTTCCCTGCAGCAGGGCAGTGTCCTGTGGATCTGAGGCTGCCTAAAAGCAGCCGTTCTGGGTGCTGTGTGCTAATCCAGGAGGCTGGCAGAGCCCTTTCCTGGCCCCAGTCAAACCTCCCTGCCTGCTCCTGGGGCCTGACTGTCAGAGGAAATGCACATCTTACTAGCCCGTTTCCTACTCTACAATGTCTCCATGAAGTCAGCTAATTCTGGTACAGTTGAATTCCTGAGCATATCAGTACCCCCTTAAAGGATTCCCCTTTTCTCTACATGATCTGCCCACCCCTTCTTGATGTCCAGAAAGCAAGGGAGGAGCTGTCTGAGAGGTAGGACAGCTGGGCCCAGCTCCACTCCACCATCAGTGGCATGGGCCTCATTTTTCTCTGTAAAGTAAGAGGAGTGAAATCATCCTGTGCTGCTCCCCCATAGTCCCCAGCTCCTGCACCAGAAACACTTTGGTGACTGGCCTCCTAATCCCCTGGAATTAAAAACCAGTTGCTGATGAAGGCACATGTTACAGATTCCCATCACCGTCTTGTGGGCCTGTGGGGTTAGAAGTGCTGCTGTGCCGGTGTAGCTGAGGACACCTTCTCCAGGGCCAGGTGCAGCCATAGAGACACAGTGGTCTCCCCTATGCATCTGGCTTCTGAGCCCTTAATGCAACACCACCGAGCTCCACTGAGTCATAGAGCTATGAGAGTGATCTGTCCGCTGGGCCATTTGGCCCAAGCACTTCTGCTGAGCTAACCTCTCCCATCCTGTGTGTGCAGGACCTCCCATGCCTCCAGCCAGCTCTGCACTCCTTAGCCAAAGCCTGCTTCCACCTCCTGCATCCTCAGGAGCCTGTTCTCGATGTCCCTCAGCTGGTGACTGGGCTGGGGCTGCATAAAGTACAATCACAGCCACATAAATGAACATTGTTAAGCATTTCCACACACTGTCTGGTCCATGCCAAAGTGGGAGGACATAGAGGGCCTCTTTCTGGCTCCTCGTCCGTTTTCTAGAGAAGGTCCTCATTATAAAATGTGGGTTCCTTAAGCCCAAACTAAACTTTCAGGTAGACTGATACCCAGGGAAGTGGCCAGCAGGGCCCTTGGGATCCTGACGGCTGGGCTTTGTCTAGGAGGAAGAGAGACTGGAGCCCAAAGTACTCAGGGACGCAATTCTCACCCCTCGCCATGCTCTGGAGTTGGCCAAGTATCCCCTAGCCCCAGAGAAACAGATTCTGTGGGTGCAGTTGGGCCCAGGCTTTAGTGTTTCCCCGTGAACCCCCTGCAGCATCCAGTGTGCAGGAGGGTGCTGCACCTTCCCTGGGGTGTGACTGGGCCACAAGTGTGGCATCAAGCACCAGCCACGGGAGGTATCTTTACCCCCCAGAAACCTGTTTGGAGCCCATTCCTCAGCCAGGTGTTCAATGGTCGGCAGAGTGCAGATGGAATTGGCTTCTGGTGTCAGAATTGGAAAGGTCTGCACCTCCCAAGTTAGCCAGTGGACCAGACATGGCCTGAAATGCACCAGTATCCCTCCAGGAACCCTGGGGCTCCCTGTGGACAGTAGCAAGCAGGCAGAGCAGAGGCCAGAGAGCTGAAGATGGAACAGTGAAGCCTCCAGGAGACCTGTGTTAGGAGCTCAGTTTCAAGTGTGGATGCCACACAGCACTAACAGCCACATTCGTTTCCTCTTTTCCAGAGATTGTGTGGAGTGCTTGCTGCTCCACGCCAGGAACCCTGACAACCAGACCTGCCACCACCTATGCAAGGATGAGGTGATCACATGGGTGGACTCCATCGGTGAGTGTCCTGGTGCCCTGGGCAGCCTCGTCCTGTGATCTCCGCAGAGGCCTAGACATTTCCTCCTCTGCGGGCAGGAGGGTAGCTTTAGTCTCGAGTTAGGAAGCACGGCCTTGGCTTCCTTCACTCCTCTGCTGGCACCCCAGGGGAATGCTGGCCTGGAGTCCCCAAACACGCTGGCAGAAGCATAAAGTGGTACAAAGGCTTTGGAAGTCAGTTTAGCAGCTCCCCCAAAAGTTAGGCGTCGAATTGTCACACAATCCGGCAGTTCCACTTCCAGGCATATACATCCCCAGGAGATTCGGTCTATGTCTAGACAAAACTGGTACACAAGTGTTCATAGCAGCATCAATTATAATAGTCAAAACTTGTAAACAGCCCATGTCCCTCAGGTGATGAGTGGTAAACAAAACGTGTGATATCCATAGGATGGAGTTTTATGAAAGATGAAATACTGATACCTGTGACGATGTAAAACATTACATTAAAGGAAAGAAGCCAGGCAGAAAGAACACCCAATCCTGTTTTATGGAATGTCCAAGGTAGGCAAAAGCTCTTGGGACAGAATGGAGACTGTGGCCAGACACTGAGGAGAGGGAACCCTGGGATTGACTGCTGGCTGACATGTGGGTTTCTTTTTGTGATGTTGGAAATGTTCTGAAACTAATAGGAATGGTTAAATAACGTTGTGAATTTACCAAAACTGACTGTATATTTAGAAATGGTTAAAATGGAGAAAAAGAGAAAAACTATGCACCTGACAGGTGGGGTGCACCTTAGACTCCTCTTGCTGGCAGGTGCTGTCTGCCTGGCTTCAGCTTCACAGACTCCTGGCCCGGGCCCTGGTTGTCTCAATGCTGGCCAGCCTCCTCTGTAGACTTCCTTGTTCCCACCTACCTGCTGTTGACTGACTGCTGGACTCGATCGTGGCTCTACCGAATGTTAAGTCACATATCCTTCCCACAAATGCTCAGTGAAAACCTACTACATGCCAGGTGCTGTGCTGAGCCCACCACAGCCTGGCCCATGAATCCTGTCCTCCTGCCTGCTCCATCTTGCTACTGAGGGCCTGGCTTATGCCAAGTTTTGCCTGCAGGGCTGCGCTGCTTCCCCTAACTATGCACACATTGTCACGACAGAAAAAAGCTGCCTTCCTGCATCCCACAAACTGCTTCCCAGTCCAGTTCTCCAAAGTGCATGTTCCAATTCATCAGCCGCTTTTCTTCCTTCCCCTGGGCTTTTTAAAGTACATACGCACCTCATGTCTCTCAGCCTCATGATGAGCAACTACAAAGAAAGCCAGGCCTTCGAGTTTGATAACTGCACTAACGTGTCTGCCTCTGATCAATCAGATGCGACGGGCAGCAGCCAAACGAGGAGCATTTCATGTCTTCACTCGAACCTGCTGTCATTCTGTTGTGGCTGCCTTCTTTCCTTTCTCTTAGCAGCCTTCTTCCTCCTTTGCCTCTGCTTCCTTTCTCTCCCAGGGAAGCTGTGGGGTGCACGGTGGGACCTGGATGGATGAGGCGGCTGAGGAAGGCTTCCTGCCATGTTCCACTGAGTCCAGCTGGTGTCCAGGACAGTGTTGGGGTGGGGCACAGGCACCGCAGTGGTGACAGCCTCTCACCCACGCATCCTCCTCACCCCTGGGTGCTTTCTGACTTTACAGCTCAGGGAAGAGCTGTCTGCTGGCCTCCACAGACTCTGGGCTGTTTCCCAGATGCAGACTCTCACTCGAGCCTCAAAGGAGGCGGGGGTCAGGAAGCCTTTTCTCTTTATCCCTCTAACTTCCATCCAGTTCCATTCACCAGTCCCTGCCCCCAACCAGTAAAAACTTCTTCCCTTTCACATCCCCTCCAGAAAGTACTTCAGAAGGTTGACAATCTTCTGATGTGATCCATGTGTCCCCAAAGCAGTAAACTCAGCCCTGGGCCCGCGAGCTTGCTGTGAGGAACCTGAGCCCATTTAAACACCCGCCGCCCCTTCAGGGCTCTCTGTCCCCTTCTTTTCGATGCCTGGCTCCCCGGGGAACCATGGGCCGCTCTGGGCTGCCCACCAATATGCTCAGAACTTCTTGCTGCTTCTCTTCCAGTCAGTGATGAGCAGGAAGCTGTGCTCTGTTTCTACAAGACGGCCAAGGACTGCGTCATGATGTTCACCTACGCCGAGCTGCCCAGCGGGAAGTCCAACCTGACAGTGCTCAGGGAGCCAGGTGGGTGGTTTCTGGGGCCAGACCCTGCTGGAGGATTCATTCACTGTCCTCACCATAGCGCATGAAGGGCAGGACAGAAGGCCACCGCCGCCCCACTCTAGGGCTTAGAAGGAAGATGGTGCATAGCTGGGGCCCATTACAAGGACAGAGCTCCGGGCAGTGGGGCAGTAGAAGACAGGGGCTCCCCATGGGGAGTGTCACCTTAGAGGGGACCGAGCACACTCAGCCTGGGCAGCTGCTGTGCTCTGCAGGGAGCCATAGGGCCAGGGTCATTGCCCGCACGGGGCAGCGTCCAGCTGGGTACACTTGCAGCCCTGGCAGCTGCAGCTGCAGGCCCCCACGGAGGGTGTCACAGGACAGAAGGAGCTGGGTGCGGCCCACCGGTCTGCTGCCGTGCTGCTGGGCTGCTGGGCCACCGAGGAGGCCAAGGTGTCAAACACTGACACTTCTGCCTTGTGTTTTGGGCCTAGGGATCATTTGCCTTGGAGTAATGGATTTCTAGGTCTCCCTTTCATTCTTCTCTGGAATAGGGAGGGGCGTGAGAGGAAGCAGAAAGAGATACACTGCTTTCAATTCACAGCATTGCAAACTCTTACTCTAAATGCAGCCAAACCACACAGTGAGCTGACGTAGCCCAAAGGCAGAGGGAAGTGAGGGACCAGCTGTGGATGCATGCCCCTACGAGGGAAGCTTTGCTCCCAACCTCTGTCTTCATAGTTCTTTGAAAATAAGTACATTTCCTCCAAGGAGCTCCACACTCAGGGTTCAGCAGTGTTTGTGGAGGTGGCTTGTGCTGCCTCCTGCCGGCCTGGGCCACCCCTTAGACTGCTGACAAGGAGGCTAAGGAAGGAAGAGGCAGCCATCCTAGCGCTGTCATTGTAGACTTTGCCGTCAGCCAGCTGTGTGACCTGGGAACATCATGTCCCTCTTAGAACCTCTCCCTGTCTGCACATTGTGGGAGACTCTGCCCTGGCCCCCATTCCAGTCTCACAAGGCAACATGGGATCTGGGAGTAGAGAGGAAGCCCCTAGAGAGGCGACCTTTCCTCTCAGACATGTCTAGGCCAGGGGCAGGGAGTGTGGGGTGTAGGATGCTGGTGTCATGGCCCACAGTCCCTCCTGGTCCCCTCCAGAATGTGGAGCCGCCCACAACGCCATGACCATTCTGCTGACTGTGGTTGGCATCACCCTTCTGATCGGGATTGGACTCCTGGCCCTCTGGAAGCTGCTCGTCACCATCCATGACCGAAGAGAGTTTGCGAGGTTCCAGAGTGAGCGCTCCAGAGCCCGCTACGAGATGGTAAGCCCACCGGAAGGGGCAGAGGAGAGACTTCCAACCTAGAGGCACGGTTGGGTTCAACCCTACCTTAATGGTAAAGGCCCCCTGGCATCCTTGGCATTAAAAACAGTCAGCGGTGGGATATAGCTCTATGGTAGAGCACTTGCCTAGTGTGCAGAGGCCCTGGGCTTAATCCTTGATCCCCACTACTAAATAAAAAAAGAAGAGAAACCACATACCTGCAAGGCTTGCCCAGTACTAGGCAATGAGAAGTGTGCAGCCCTGGGCACAGAGAGGCTGCACGGTGCCTTGCCCAGGCCAGGCAGAGCTGTGGGGCAGGGGTGTGCGCCTGTGCTCAGCAGAAGGATCTTGGGCAGGCCGGGGACAACAGGCCCACAGAAAAGCTGCTCAAGTGCTGGTCTGTGGCCGTGTTCAGTGTTCGTGTGAGTAAGTCAGTCTGCACAGGTGGACGCCAAGCTCAGGAAGGACCACACAGATTAAGTACCTACTGAATCCCCAGTCACTGTCTGTTACAGTTGAGACCTTCTGACCTAACCCTTCATTTCCGACATGAAGTAAAAGCTCCGAGAAGAAGAGGGCCTTTCCCAGGGACACAGAGCAGTCAGAGGCAGAGCGTCCCCTCCCACCTGCCTGCTCCACTGACCAAGGAGGGGCGTCCAGATCTGAGTCTGTTGGTGTGGATGAGCACCAGTAACCCATGCCTCTTACCTTCTGTGCCCTACAGGCCTCGAATCCCCTATACAGAAAGCCCATCTCGACACACACACCATGGATTTTACCTTCCACAAGTTCAACAAGTCCCACAGTGGCACAGTGGACTGATAGCTCCTCCTCCTAGAAGGCTAGAGGGGACGAGGACAGGGCCAGCCTGGAATGCCCAGGTCAGCTCCTGGCTTGGTCACAGCTCTCTAGATATTCAAGCAGGACAAGGAGCCCACTGCCACACAGAGGGGACCTGGGCATGCCACCTGGCTGCTAGGCCACAGCCACACTTGGCTGCCTCTCCTCCACACTTGGCTGCCTCTCCTCCACACTTGGCTGTTCCTCAGGAACAGCAAGGGGACCCCAGTGCTTGTGGCTTTCCCGTCACCTCCAGCTTGTTGTCTCGATGAACTGCTGAGATGTTGGCTGTATCTCCCTCTCAGCCCGTCCGACACGACAGCTCCAGGGAAGGATCAGAGGATGTAAAACCAGTGTGCAGCCTGGTTTTTTTCATGTTGACCATTTTTATATGAAATAAAGAGATCATGCACTTATGGCATAGCTCTGATTACTGAGGATTATCTGCCCGCTGTCCGTGCTTCCCATGTGGTGTTGGTGATGGGATTGGTTGGTGCCTGTTGAAGGCACACAGTTTGAAGATGTTCGTTTTCCTCTCCTGTCTGTGTTTGTTTAGTACTTTTGTAATGAAGAGGAAAGAGATTGTCTGGGATTGAAAGTAAAGACTGAAACCAAATGAGCTTGTGTTGCCTGATTCTCTCTGGTGTGTGAGTTCCTTTCGGAATGGTCTCAGACACAGCTCTCTGGGACTGACACGGCCTGAGCCCGTCTGACACTCCAGACCAGGGTTCGTCAAACTGGACTCCTGGAGGTGCTTGAGCAGTTAGGCTGGCTCCAGGGAACACTGAGCAGGCACCTCTGACCCTCCCAGCTTAGGCTTCGAGAGAATTCTAGGCTAGAAAACAGGAGAACCACCCCTCTGGCCTCCTCCATGCTCTGGCATGCCGAGACTCTGAGGAGACCATGCAGAAGACAGGATCAGGCTGCAGCTTCCACACAGTAACTTCTTACACATTAGTGTCGATAATAATTCCCTCCCAGTGCCTTGTCCACCAGACTCCGATGTCCCACCCATAGCCAAAGCACAGCTTATTTCAGCTTTTATTTCCTACAGAGCACTGCAGTCCCCTTAGGTTCCCATGTCAGAGACAGAAAAGATCTTAGAAGTTTTCTGACCCTGTGCACTTATTGCAGGAGAGGAAGTAGACTCTCTGAGGGGAAGTGACCTGCCCAAATATCAGCTCATGACAATCTGGTACAAAGGCCCTGTGCACACTGCTGGCCAGAGTGCCAGCCTCCCACCACCTGCTCATCCTCTAAAATCCTTCTCTATTGGCGTCACTTCGAGCTCCTCTCCCTTTACTCCAGACTCGTCTGTTCTCAGCCTCGGAGCAGATTCCCCTGCTTCCTTTTGCCAGTGAACAGGGACAATTACCTGGGGGCAAAAAGAATATTCTGGGGCCTGGGATTTAGCTCAGTGGTCCAGCTGCCTGCCTCATAAGCACAAGGTCCTCAGTTCAGTCCCCAGTACCAAAAAAAATAAATAAATAAGATTCTGGGTGTCCTTTCTTTTGTGTAACTTGAGGAGGCTGCCCCAAGGCCATTATGAAATAAAGCCAAATGAAAACAAAAACATACAACAGATAAATAAAATGGTTGTTTTTGAGTCCTCAATTGAGCAAAATAAAAGCTCTTGGAAGAAGTTTTTAGATTTCTGTCATTTGATTGTGAGCTTCCTAGAAACAAAGCATTAATGTGTCCAGAGGCCCATTTCCATAGGCAGCTCTGTGAGCACTCAGCATTCTTGGACCATAAACAGACACCAAGCAGTGATGGTGAACCTTTCAGAGACTAGTGCCAAACTGCAATCCCAAACCCCCTTATTTATCGAAAAATGCCAATACTGCAATTAAACCTGAGCATTGAGGTTTTAGTTCAGAAAAAAAAAAAAAAACTACGTTAATCTAAAACACAGTAACATGTGTGCCGCAGGTTTATCACCCCTGTGCTGAGGGGTGGCTGGCCTCGATTTCATCTGATGCTGAAGTCAGAAAAGTTTCATCATGACTCTAGTGCAGTGATTTCGAACCTTTTAGAGTTTTCAGTGATAACAAACAGCCAGCTGTGGTGTATGTGCCACAGATTCACCACCCCTCTCTAGAGGGAGGCATGTGAGGACAGGACCAGCCACCCACAGTGCCCTGCTGCCCCCTGCTGGAAGCTCTTGGCACAAGCGGCTTGGGGACCTGACTCCTGCTCTAGTGCCATTATGGCTTAATTCTCAGAGAACTGAAAGTGACAGCAAAGCCTACCTGTTCCTTATTTTACAACCAGCCCAATGGTACTTAAGATGTTTATTGGCTTAATATAACAACTTAACTTTTTTCTAATTGTACAAAATTCTAGATGGAAAATAAAAATCATAGAGAAAGTAAGAATCCTTTAGGATCACACCACCCAGATGTACCTACTCTTGACCTTTGCTCTAGCTTGGATCTTAAATGACCCCAAAGGCCCATGTGGTAAAGGCTTGGTCCCTGGCCAGGTGTTCTTCTGGGAGGAGGAAACTGAGGTGGAGCCTAGCAGGAGGCCTTCCAGTCACTGGGTCTGCTGGGAGGGAATGGTAGGGCCCATCTCCAATCTCTCGTCTGATTCCTGCCATGAGGTGAGTGGCTTTGCCCAGATGCATGCTGTCCACAATGAGATGCTGCCTCAACCCAGGCCTAAGCAAGAGGGCCAATCATTCATAGCCTATAACTTCCAAAATGATGAACTAATAAGTACTATCTCAGGCATTGGTTAAAGCAACAGAAAGCTAACACAGCCCTTGTTGTGTGACCTCTCAAGTCTTTTCTCCACACTTCAACATAACTTTGACCCAATGGGGATCTTATTTCTTGGATCTTTCTCATCCTCATCATGAAAGCCTGAAACCACAGATATCAAACCCTACATATCCTTTTTTTTCCTACACATACATGCCCATGATAAAGTTTAATTTATAAATTAGGCACATTAAGAGGTTAACAGTAAAATAGAACAACTACAATATGAATAATAAAATTATGTAAATGTACACTCAAAATATTGTACTGTAATCACCCATATTGTGATTATGTGAGATGGTACAATGTGATGAAAACAAGTGAGGTGAATGATGTAGGTATTGAGATACAGTGTTAGGCCACCACACACACAGAGGTTGCTTAAACATTGAGAGTCAGACTGATAAAACAGCCACCAAGCTACGAGCAGGAGGGTAGTATATATAGGATAGAAACACTGCACAAGTGGGGCTGGGGATTTAGCTCAGTGGTGCCCATGCCTGTCTCACAAGCACAAGGTCCTGAGTTCAATCCCCAGTACCAAAAACAAAAAGGAAAACACTGCCCAAAGGCACAATTCATATCTCAGACAAGACAGAGCAGTATGGTGAGCTTTCATCATACTATTCAGAACAGCATGCAGTTAAAACTTATGAACTGTTTACTTCTGAAATTTTACATTCAATATTTTCAGACCACAGTTGATGGCAGGTAACTGGCCTGTGGGAAGCAAGACTCTAGATAAAGGCACTACTGATGCTCTTTTTCCTTGGCCACATTTTTTGTGGTTCCAGGTAAGCTGGGAGCAGTGTGCCTTGTTAAACATGATCATTTCTCCCACTCCCCACCCCGAGGGACTGCTGAACATTGGGACCTCATGCAGGGTGGGGACGTTGAAGGTGGGGAAGGAAGCTGTGACTGTGCATAGACACCCACTAATACTTTGCTGTCCTTGTCAGAACCTGGGTTGTGTGGTCCCACTTTCCTCTAAAATGTCCTTGCCTGAAGGTCAAGAGACCTTCAGAAGGTCAGCCCATTGGGTCTGTTTCTCAGCTACCTTTCCAGGATGCAGGAAGATTCAGCTTCTCTGCCATGTCACCCTGGAGTCACAGGGTGCTCAGGCTGCCTCAGGGTCTCAGACACACACAGCCTCTGGCCCATGGGCATGCTCTGAGGTGGGTGAGGGGATCTCCAGACCTTCACAGCTTTCCTGGGCCCTTCCCAGAAAGACCAGGCACAGACCTCTGGTGCCACTCCATACCAACATGAAGTGTGTCTCCTTTCTGGCCTCGTTGGGACTTGGAGCCCACAGCAGGGTCTGACTCTCAGGATCCCACTGCCCCTCCTTCCTCTCTCCAATGCAGAAAAAGACTTTTTCACTGGTGGGCAGGTGATGGCTAGGCAAATTTTCTTCCAAACCAACACTTGTGCCAAAACCTTGAACTTTAAATGCTAAACCATATTCTATTTTGTTTCTCTTTGTGCTTTCATTGTGACCTCCCTTTCCTGAGGATCAAAAGCCAAGTATGAACGTGGAAGGGTGATAGAGAAAACAAAGGGAATGCAGCCCTCCTCCAATCATTTGACTCACTCAAGGTCAAATTACAAAGGTTAAAGGCCCTCTGATCTAAAAAAAGAAAGATACAGCATCCCACATCCTGTACTCCAAAATAAAATCAGCTCTTAATAAAACATTAACTATAAAATGAATGGAAAGAACTCGTGAGTCCTGGTTTTTCTGTGGTTTTTTTTAATGTCATACTCTTTAATGATTCCTTCCTGGCACTGATGCCAAGCTATCAAAGCCACCTGCTAAGGGGCACAGGAACCCAACTGCAGAATCCACGGGGTCACTGTCATCTTCAGTGGTTGACACTGGTTCAGGATGTTGAAGTTTAGGGTTCCCGCAAGAACCAGCACCCATCTTTCTGGTTTAGAGAGACCACAGTAAGCAGTCAGAGGGGAAATGGGGCACCCTGAAACTGATTTGTGGTGAATATTTGTCTTCCTGGGAAGCAGGCTGCATCTGGGGGGTGCTGCGGCACAACGCTCGTGCAGGTAGAGATACTGCTGCCTAACCAGCCCCCAGCACTCTAAGGCCATGCTCGCAAGCTCAGAGCCACTGGGGCACTGTGCATCAGGCCGGGAAGGCTGGAGCAGGCTCTGCTCTACTTTTTTCTCATGCTGTGGGGTCCGTGGGTGACCAGGGCAGAAACAGGAGTTTGGGCTTAGAACTGGTACCATGTGACCCACATACCCTTTGCCAAGCAAGTCGCGTGGCCCAGGCCCATATCAGGGAAGAACTACTGAGGCAAGTGGCAAAGTACATGGATTCAGGGAAGGGTAAGAATTGGGGCAGTAATACAATCTGCCCCTTCTGTTTTGGTACCATCTACCAAATGCTATAGCAATGGGATGTGTCTCGAGTTTCGACCAGTGGGAACACTGTTGTCTCAGCGTAGTAGGGAAGTCCTCCTGAAATCTTAGCTGAGGAGCTGGGTCCCATCATGACAGGGTCAATGTATGCCTTATTCACTTCCTGTGAAATAAATACTTCTTGGCTAAATATTTGCTCACAGGCATATAAAGAGGAAATCAGTCCTAATGTAAGAGAATAAAAATCTAAGAACAAAATGCCAAACTGGAGTCCAGCCTAGGATTCCAGTTTCTCCTCTGCCCTGAATTAGCTCTTTTGCAACCTTGTGCAAATCCAGGCTCAGTGGTCCTCAGTGGAATGCCTGGATCTGATGACCTCTAGGCTTCCAGTCCCAGTTTCCTGAGGGTCTGGACACTCACCAGCCTGGGCTCTGGACTTACATAAGGACAGTTCTGTCTTCTCGGTCTGATCATTGTACTTGGATTCCTTGTACAATGTCTCTCCTCGAGGTCCGGCTGTTTCTCGAGGCTCCGCGTAGGAGTGTGCCTTGGAAACTCCCACCAGGATGTGGCGGCCCTTTGAACTTGCAGACTCTTCTCCTAACAGTCATGGCTGTAGCCTCTAGGCCTCTCTATCCCCTTATCATTTCTATTTCTTTGTATCTGTTTCAAATGTTGATATATTTCCTCCACTTCATTTTCTAGCTTGCAAATGCAGTTTTTAACATTATTACCCCCTTTTAAATTTTTTTCTTCAAATTTTCAAATTCAAAAATGTTTTTAGTTCCCCAGACAAAACATTGTGATTCTGACCTCTTTGTTGTTTTGGCCCTGGGGGACAACGTTGCAGTTGAGGAATTGACTTTCACCAGGAGCCACATGTCCATCACATATTCGGGACCCAGCAGACTCAGTGCAGCCCAGGCCTCCCTGCTGTCGTTCCTCACATCTGCCTGGTTGAGAAGTCCATGCCTGCAGCTGTCCTCTCTCTGGAGCTCCAGCAAAGCCGGTGGTCAAGCCGATAGTCCAGGCCTAGCCTGCATGCTGGGCCCAGCAGCCTCCTCACCAGGAAAAGCAGGTGAAGGAGAGTTTTGAGATGAGCATGTGAAAAATGTCCCCAGGCTGCCATCTCCCCCTTTTGGTGCCTTTTCTCAGACAGGCTTTGCATGCCCCAGGCTACTTTTGGGAGCTTTTCCTGCTGACTGATAGCAGCCTGGGTGAGGGTGAAATAGCAGCCTGAATGGGGCCAGCCCCAAAGGCTGGCTGCGACAGTGACAGCCACAGGACCACTCCAGGTCAGCTCTAAAGGAGGGAGTGGACCAGATGGTGTCCAAGGATCCCCCGGTGCCAGCCATCTATGGCCCTTGCCGTACAGATCCCCTGGTGGAGGACAAGGCAGGAGTGGAGCTGCCCACTGCTAATCCTGCAGCCACTCTAGGCACCCTGGAGGCACTGTTCCTGTTCCCCCCAGCAGCCCAGATCTCAGGCTCTGTCCACTGAGAAGGTGAAACTGCTGCCTCCACAGCGCCTTCAGAGCCCAGTCAACCTGGGTGTCTTCTCGTATCTGAATGGATTTGTGCTCTGGTTTCATGACCCCAGGCTCTCTGGGCTTTTGCTTAGAGAAGAGGCCTGTTAAGAAACATCCAGGGGTCAGGGATTTAGCTCAGTAGTTTTGCTGCCTGCTGCACAAGTGCAAGGACCCAAGTTCAATCCCCGGTACAAAAAAAACCCCAAAAAACATCCAGATCCCCAGGCCCCCAACTCTGCCAAAGCTACTCTGATCTTCAAGATGCAGGAACCTAACTGTGCAATAAGCAGGAGGGGCCCGGGCATTCCTTGAGCTCCAGGTGACTCCGCTGCAGGATGCAGGCTACCACACGAGCCGCTGGCCTGGTCAGTGAAGTTGGCATGAAGCTCAGCACCTCCCTCCAAGGGCCTCAGCTGCAGGTCACCAAGACTTTGAAGATGCACAAGAGATTGCTGCAAGATGCCTCAGAAGACTCCTTTTCATGACTTTTCATGATGGCCATGCCCTTCCTTCGCCTCTGGCCTCTTGTTCCTTAATTTATCCCTTTCTGACAGAGGGAATTTCTCTGGAGATGCAAGACTGGGACCTGAAGTTCAGATTGAACTCTAGAGCAGAAGCTCTTGAAGTAGAAACTCTCAGAGGGACAATGCAAACCCAAATTGAAATCACAAGCTTTCTTCTGGATACTTAGGAATGGTTGGGGTGGGAAGAGCGGACTTGGGAATGGCCAGTGTCCTCCACCCACTGTGCTGTCTGAGGCAAGGTCCCCGTGGGGACACTGCACAGTGGCCTCTGGGCCATGCCCTTCAGTCTCCCTCCAAGATCCACCCTGAGGGACCACAGAAATAGAAAAATGGGGCAATGTGTACCATCAGTTGTCCAGAAACGTTGGGATTCCTGGGATGGCTGGTCTGTCTGGGGGCAGAGTGAGGAGGAAGATTGACACCCCGTGTCCTGGCCAGACTCACTGGGTGAGGGCCTAATGGGAAACTGAAAAGTCTCAGATTTGGCCTGGGCCAGACAGACCAATGCAGTAACTGAGTTTGGGTGCAGGAGACTCAAAACAGATTAACTAAAGATGTAAACAACTAACCAATTGACTAGTTCAGATGTAACACCTGACACTGGACTCAATGTAACAAATTGTTTTCTCTGCCTCATTTCCCTTCTGTAAATGCTGGTCAGAGCACATTGTTAGAATTCTCAACCTGCTCTGGTTTTGAAGGCTGCCTGGTTTGTTTTGCCTTTGCCCAAACTCTTGCATAATTGGCCTAAGGAACTTTCCCTTAGGACAGTTTTGGGGTAGTTGGCAGGGCCCCAGCAGGGCTGTCATAGCAAACAAGGTGGATGTGGTCCCTTCCTCCATGGGGTGTTGCAGGAAAATGCATGCACACACAGCGAACAAGCAAGAAAACACAATCAGCACAGTATTAAGGGCTGTGAAGAACCAAACAGGGACCGCCCTGTCACATGGTACCGTGTCCTGGTGACTGGGGTGAGCTCTTTGTCAGTATTTAATACCAAACATGGTGCTGGTCTCACAGCAGAATGTGTATTTCTACTGGTGCGACATCTTGGTTTTTATGTGAATAGAGAAGCCAGGTGTATTTGTTAGCAGACACGAAAAGGTTCGTACGGAGGAAACGTTTCTAAAGAGTATGAAATGGTACTTCTCTATGAAATGCTGTTATAGAACAATTCAAAATTGCTTCTTCTGAGGCAGGAGACGAGGGCATGGCAACATGGCTGTGGCAACTGGGCTCGACCTGCCAGCTGCAGAGACTTGTTAACCTTGGATGCAGAGCAGCAGCCCTGAGCCAGCACCTGTTCTTCGAGCACGAGATTAAGTGGGACGGCCTGGGACCAGCATCAGAAAGAAGACAGAAAAGACAGCAGCCCTGCCATCTGCCGCTGCCCTCTTGTTCCGAGGGCAGCCTGTCCTTGAAGTGCCTTTTTCTCCTTGAACACTTCTTTTTTTTGCTCTTACACATTCACAAATTGTTCTGACCAATTCGCTGAACAGAACAATAAGAGCCTGAAAAGCTCCTCCAGTCACTTCGTTTGGCGAAGCCAGCAAGAAGGTAACACAGGGAGCCAGGAGGTAAGGCTCTTCGGGCAGTTTCTCTCTCTGACATTTAAGGACTAAGGACTCTCTTTCCCAAATCCTCTGTCCTGTCCTTTCTCTCCCAGGCTGGTGGGGAAAGGCAGGGAGCTAGGTGGTGGTAGAAATTAGGGGAAGCTGGGGACCCCTGGTGCAGCCAGCAGCCAGGAGAGGAGAGCCTGCAGCCGCATGAGCCCGTACAGTCGTGGTCCTTTGGGCCTGGCTTCCGTGCCTGCGGCCCAGCTGCAGTGGAGACCAAGCACCTCCTCCCAGAGGCTTCAGGGTCAAGCTGAGTGTCAGGCTGGGGAAGACCCTTGGAAAGAGGGCAGGAGCCATAGTCAGCACCTCACTGCCCTCAGGAAAGGAGGGGCTGTTTGCACTTGAGACCGTGGTCCCCAAAGCCACTGTGCTGACCTGGAAACTGCGCCTCCATGGCTCAGTTGGGGCAGGGATGACTTGTGTGCAGGATGCCCTGTCCCTTTCTGCTGCTCTCCATCACTTTGGCTATTAGGAGGAGTTTTTGCCTTTTAAATAATTCATTTGCTTAGAAAACCAGTTGAAAATGTTGGCCACTTAGGTTGTTTGAGGAAGAAAGGTTTATACAATGTTTACAAACCTGAAGTCAAGAAAAGATTTTACCTGAAAGTCTAGAGATATTGAGCAAGTGTTTAGGTATTTTCAAGCTTTCAAATTTAATTTCTTTACTTACTAAAAATCATCACTGTAGTGATTTTCCATTGAAATGCCATCTTACTGTAAATTAGCTGTAGATAACCAGGTGCTTCTGATGAAGTGAAAAGGTGTCTGCTCTGTAGCGTACATGAGAGGTTTCCCATGTTTCTATCAGATTTGGGGGAGTGAGACAGGGGCTCGCTGTGTGGTCCAGGCTGGCCTTGACCTCACTATGTACCCCAGGCTGGCCTCAAACTCACAGCAATCCTCTTACCTCAGCCTCCCAAATGCTGGGATTATAGGTGTGTGCCACCAGGACCAGATTTTAGTTCTTAGCATAACTAAACATGATGTAAGAATATATACTGACTTGTGAAAAAATCCATGAAAAGCTGTTTTAAGTGTGTTTTTACTTATAAGATTATGCTTACTGTTCTAATCTGGTGGTGAAGGTATTCTTAAGAAATTGCAAGTACTCTTGCTAGTCAAAACTAAATGTGAAAAATCATATGATCACCCTGCTATTCCAAGCATTCTTGTGCTTTATCGGGCAAGGTAATTAAAATTTAGTGATGTGTCTGTGAAAGTTTTATTCTAAGAATGCCTTAGGTTAGTTATTTTATTCTTTAATAGTGGAAGGGGTTCAAACCATTTCATAACAAGGAGTTGAAAGACCTTGTAATTTATAGTCTGAAGAACACCAAGGAACTTATCATTTCTCAGTTTGTGATTTACTGAGCACTTACTAGGCATGGTGAGTCTGCATTCAGTTCTAATCCATCTACTCATATCAGTAGCCACTCTTCAGTTGCCTTTTGTTGTTGTTGTTGTTGTTACTGGGGATCGAACTCAGGACCTTGTGCTTCCAAGGCAGGTGGTGGCACCACTGAGCTAAATCCCCGGCCCCACTTGGCCTTTTTGTTCACAAGTAATTTGATTCTGAGAGACTTGTCCAAGTCCACAATCCAGATAGGGTTCCTGGGCCTGTGATTTTAATACCATTTGCTCTATTACCAAATGCTAGTTTGCTTTGTAAGTTAAACAACATCCGTTTATTCTATTCTTGTGAATTTAACCTGCTCCCCACATGGATCTGTTGGAGTGATGCTGGCCGGCCTTCTGTTATTCCTGTAGGCTCAGCCGGGTGCAGTTTGTAGCTTATGTCTGTGCTCGCTGTGAAGCCGCTGCTGTTTAAACAGCCCTTTCCTTACTGGAGTTACTTTTGATGTGACATGCTTCATGTTATCTCTAAGCTGTCTAGCTCTCAGAAACAGTCTTCTGGATTTTAAATCTTATATAAAAATGTAGTCTTGTGTAAATATGAAAAATTCTGTAAGATTTATATTCACATTTGTTTCAAAACAGGAAGCTGAGGGTCTCTAGGAAGTCAAGAGCTATATCAAGGTATTCTCAGAATTTGTCACCACCAATCTTTTTTGTTGTTGTTGTTTTGTTTGTTTGTTTGAGTCAGGGTCTCCCTTTGTAGCCCAGGCTGGCCTCTAACTCAGGGCGATCCTCCTGCCTCAGCCTCCCATGTGCTGGGATTACAGATGTGTGCCACCAATCTTGAATTCAGTTCCAACATAACATGAGATGCTCTTAAAATTCACAAAGTGCAAAATATTTTAAAAGCTTCACTAAATACCACAGATTCAAATCATCATTTATTCATAACTGCTATCATGTTGAAAGGGAGGGTTGAAAACTCAGGCATTTTAATAGGTTCGATGGTATTGCTGAAGAGTTTAGTATATCACACTGAGACAAGGTACTGTCCATTCTTCCATTTAATAGAAAGGACAGCAGGTCTGGGAGCTACATATTGGTGTCACTGTCTGAAAAGAGAATTTCTAATGTCCTGCTGTTGGCAAAGTCTGAGCAGATGGTACTGGGAGTGTAATTTGGTACAGCCACTGTGGAAATCACATGTGGCGCGATGGCACTGGGTTCATTTGACAGCACATCCTACACTGGACAGAAACAGGAGAGGGCTGGACACCCAAGACTTCCATCTTGTCTCAGCTTTGGAGGGTTTGGGAAAAAATCTGAAGGGTTACTAGAATAAGGTTAACTGTATTTTGAAAAGTTGTGGCCACTGTATTTAATTTCTTGCAATTTAAAGGTACAAAGAGGGGGTTTAAGATATTCACAGTGGGGCCATCATTTGTATGTCTCACTGCTGGGCAGCTCAAATTTGAATTTGAGCTTATGATGTTAGATTGCTAACCTGTATATGCTCAGTACACTAAACAAAAACATTGTTTTTTCATGGCTAGATTAATCTCAGTGATAAATTTTTAAATTTTATTGGTACACTTTTGATATACATAATTATTACACACATCATAGGGAATTTGTACCTGCATATGATACATCTTGATTCTTTTTCTCCCTATTTCCAAAAGTTTTGTTACCATTTTTCCTTCTATTCTTTTTTTTTCTTTTTCCATTTCCCCTTTCCCCTTTCCTCTCACTTGTTTGCTTTCTCTTTTGAACATTTTCTTCTTACTTCCCAGTATCTATCATTCATTTTGGTCCTTATTTACCCTTTCAATTTCTCACGCAAGAGAAACAATGCAATATTTAAACATGTGTCTGATTTATTTCACTACAAAGTATGGTCTCAAGGTGCATCCATTTACCTAAACATGTCTCAAGTGTATCCTTTATGGTAGAGTAGTACTCCATTGTATACAAACACCACATTTTCTTTATCCATTCATCTGTTGGTGGGCATATGAGCTGTCTCCAAGATTTAGCTGTTACAAGTTGTGCTGCTACACACATGGGTGTGCATATATTGCTGTGGTATGATGCTTTTAACTCTTTCGGGAAAATAACTAGAAGGGGAATAGCTAGCTCAAATGGAACCTGTAGTACTAGTTTGTTGAGAACTCTCCATACTGATTTTCACAGTGGTTGTACAAAATTACACTCCCATCAACAGTGGAGAAGGGTTCTTTTTTCCCCACAGCCCTGCCAGTATTCCTTACTGGTTGATTTCTTTCTTTCTTTTTTTTTTTTTTTTTGGTACCGGGGATTGAACTCGGGACCTTGCACTTGCAAAGCAGGTGGCAGAACCACTGAGCTAAATCCCCGGCCCGGTTGATTTCTTAATGATAGCCATTCATTCTGGAGTGAGATGAAATCTCAGGTTTTAATTTGCATTTCTCAAATGACCAGTGATATTGAACATTTTTTCATATATTTGTTTGCTGTTTATATTTCATTTGAGAAATGTCTATATTTATTTCAGATGCCCCATTATTGAACTGAGTCTTTAAATTTGAGAGGTTTCATTTTTTTCAGTTCTTTTTGTATTCTAGATATTAGTCCTTTGAGAAGTACCTGGTAAAAAAATCTTTCCAATTCTGTGAGTTGTTCCTTCACTCTGTGGGTGGTTTCTTTTGCTGTGCAAAAGCATTTTAATTTACTATGATCCCAGTTGTTGATTCTTTCTAATATTTTCTGTGCCACTGGGGCTTTGTTCATAAAGACTTTGCTTACCTCTATGTCTACAAGAGTTTTACTTATTTTACCTTCCAGCAGATTAAGTGTTTCTGTTTTTACATTTAGATCATTGATCCATTTTAGTTCAGTGCATGGTGAGAGATGTGGGTCTAATTTTAGTCTTTGGTATGTGAAAAGCCAGTTTTCCCAGTACCATTTATTAAAGAGGCTATCTTTCTTCCAGTGAAGGAGCTTGGCTCCTGTGTCAAACATAATGTGGCTGAGTGTGTTTGGAGTTGTTTCTGCATCTTCTATCCTGTTCCATTGATCTTTCAGCCTATTTTTTTTTGCTAGTAGCATGCTGTTTTTATTATGGTAGCTTTGGAGTATAATTTCAAACCAGGGATTGTGATGCCTCCTACCTTGACCTTGTTACCCAGAATTGCTTTTGCTATTCTAGATCTCATCTGGTTCTAAATGAATTTTGAGATTGTTTTCTCTAGTTCTGCGAGGTATGCTATTGGTATTTTGATTGGGATTGCATTAAATCTGTATAATAGTTTTGGGAATATGGCCATTTTTAGTATAATGGTGCTGCCTATCCAAGAAGGGATAGGGGATATCTTTCCATTTTCTGATATCCTCTCCAATCTCCTTTTTCAGAGTACTACAGTTTTCAACATAAAGGTATTTTACTTCCTTTGTTAGATTGATTCCTAAGTATTTTATTTTTCTTGATGCTGTGGTGAAAGGTGTGCTTTCCCTAATTTTTCTCTCAGTTATTTGTGTACAGGAATGCTATTGATTTTTGAATGTTGACTTTGTATCCTGCTACATTACTGAATTTGGTTATTAAATCTAGACATCTTTTGATGGAG